TGAGAGATTAAAGAGATGGTTCAGTTTATGTTTCATCTTATTCCTCTGGCCCCACCCTAGCCCTGGTATATCTACAAAACTCTGTTCACACAGAATATTCTTCTAGACTTTCTTCCTTTGTGCAATCATTACATCAGAATTCTTGTTCAGTCATTTTTAGTTGTTATTTCTATGTACGTTTTCTGTGGGGAGGCATCTGACCATGTTATTTATGTATTTATTTTTAAAAAATCATTTTAAGCCACCTTTCCAACTAACTTAGGATCCCTAAAGTGGCAAAGGATGAAAAAACTAAAACAAGTTGTAAAAATACATACTAAAAATGAAAAACAACAATTAATGAAACACAAATGGGAAGAAGGGTCAGTGAAGGACCGTCAAACAAAACAGAGGAGTTTTCACCCACTGCAGAAGATAATGATAGAGGAGGAAAGATCTTTAAGGGCCAGTGGACACTTTCAAGGCCTTCAGAGCCCTTTGGGGTTATATTCCAGGATGCAGGTATGGATGTGGAGAGGGACAATACAGCCATGTGAATAGGAGTTCTAACCAAGGAATACACACACTGCAAACACCACCAGTTTCCCTGGGAACGAGATTTCAGAAGGTGATGTTAGCACTAGCCAAGTCGATACGACTAGCTTGGGGCTAAAAGAAGCTGTTTTGGAAAAGAAAATATTACTAGACTGAGGCACCTCCTTGTCATAAGCTCCAGTTACACTTTAGTGCCGGCAGCCAGTTATTTTAGGAAAAACGGGACCTTACAACTGAAACCACTACTCATTATAATCAGCAATGAGTCCAGTATGCATTGCTAAAGAAATGCAACAAAGTGGAGATGCCACCACCAGAAGCAGCTACGTCATGGTGCCTCAAAGTAAGATGTGAACCTCCAGAAAAGGTACATGGCAGTTGCATGGCAATGCCTGTAAGACTGCTCCTCCCCTTGCTGGTTTTTGTATAGAAAGAGCCAGGAGGTTAACTGTCAAACTAGGTAAAAGTGGTGTATAAAAACATGTCTCCATGCTTTCTTTTAGGATTTGGGAAAGCTTGTGATGATGCATTTTGAGAACCTGGTATCAGTAAGGCAGCTGTGTAACAGGTTAGTTGTTTTGTGGATCATACAGCTTCTTGTAGCTGTTTGTAAGAACGTGGCAATCTATGGCTTAGATCCTGCCTAGACTTTCTGTGGGTTCAAGGGTTGAAACAAAATTAACCTTTAGTTACAAAACTAGCTACTACATCACACAAAGTGAAACTTAGTGCACTTCAGCACAGTTTGATGTAAATAAGAACTTAAATGGAATACTTCCAAGTAATGTGTAAACTCAGCAGTTAACTATGTGCATTCAAATATATCATTTGAAATGGGAGGTTTCCCTGTTCTATCTTTGTGCAGGAGTTCCAGCTACTGTAAACGTCTGAAAAGACCCCCCCCTTACAAAAGTTACCTCTGCACAGATGCTTCTGATAAGAAGAAGAAGAGATTGGATTTATACCCCGCCCTTCACTACCCAAAGGTGTCTCAGAGCGGCTTACAAACTCCTTTCCCTTCCCCTCCCCACAACAGACACCCTGTGAGGTAGGTGGGGCTGAGAGAGCTCTTGACAGAAACTGCTCTTTTTCAAGGACAGCTCTTATCAGAACTACGGCTTGCCCAAGGTCATCCAGCAGGTGCAAGTGGAGGAGTGGGGAATCAAACCCGGTTCTCCCAGATTAGAGTCTGCACATTTAACCACTACACCAAACTGGCTCTTCTTACAAATAGCTACAAGAGAGAAGGAGATAAAAGTTATTTGTATTTTCTCTACTTTCCAGAAGAAAGTTAAAGCTCCTCCGAGGTCTTTCTCACCCAAAATTACTAATCAATGTAAAAAAGCAACTTACTTCCAAGTAGGCTTTTTTCTTTTAGAAACCTTTAGTGACAGTATGAAAAGATAGGGGCAGTGGTGGAATACCTACCTACTAGAGGGAGTAACTGCAGAGTAGTGGCCCCCATCCAATGGGGTGCATGTAACCATTCTCTCATGATCAGCCTGAGTGCCATGAACTGGCTGGTTGGGAATCAGGGGCACTCCACCCTCCTTCCCTGGAACAATCAACTGGAGTGAAAAAGAATGACCAAATGAGAGATTTTTCTATTAGTTTTGACAAAAGATTACACTAAGAGGAACTCTGTGGCTTTCCAGACAGTGATTGTTTAGCTTTTAATGATACATAACTGACTGCTGGGCTACCTGTTAATTACACTCACCACATGGAAACTGACTAGCACTGCCTATCAAGAACACTGGCAACAGAGAAGGACTTTTGAAGAGGATTGCAGGCAAATATAGAGGTAAGTCGAGAGGAGAGGGAGACAAATACAGAAAATAACTTGCTAGAATAATGAAAAAGAGAAATAAATAACAGATAGAGAAGGCCAGCCAGCAGTTCCACCTTCCCGCCATGTCTGACCACAGTCCACTCCAGCCTCATTTGCCTGTTCACCAACCTTCAAAGGATTCACTCCTTTTGTGGTACACATCATACGTAGCTCAGTTCTAACTGTACCCTACAAGTAATCTTTGGGATAATGGCATGGGGAAAGAAAGTCTAAGGGGTGATTTTCTTAAAAATGATTGTATTTTCTTGCTTCTAAATGATTTGAATTCATACCTTTTCCAGTATCAGGACATATAAATGCAGGGCTATTTTGGGGCAGGAACGCACAGGAATGGAATTCCGGCTGGCTTCAGAGTTGGCCATGCCCACTATAGCCAAAACCTCTGTGTGCATGGATACAGAGGGAAGGCCTGGAGAGTGACCCCCCCCCCCACAGCGACTCCGAGACGGGCGGGCCAGGGGGGCCCCTGGAAGGATCAGGGAGGCATTTAAATGCCTCCCCGTGCCTTCCCCAGCCTGTTCAAGGTCCGGCTTGCCTGGGCTCTCCGCAGCCGTGGGGCGCTCAGGCAAGTCAAGGGAAAGCAGTTTAAACTGCCTCCCCTCCCCTCTAAGGGTTGGCTTGCCTGGGCTCCCTGCAGCCATGGGGTGCCCGGGCAAGCCAAGGGAAGGCATGGGGTGTGGCCTAATATGCAAATGAGTTTCTGCTGTTGAGTGTGGCCTATTATGCTAACGAGTTCCTGCTGGGCTTTTTCTACAAAAAAGCCCTGTATAAATGACTTAGAACTATGAAATATCCAAATATCACCACCCTTAAACTGAATATGATTAAAATCCATGCTGTTCCTGTCACCAGAGGGAATAATTCAGGCTACCACAAGTCATATCATGCAAAGTGTTCTCATCTCTTCCATGAAGATGCTCAGGTTCAAACTGTTGGTGAGTAAGAAAATTAAATCAAAGTCTATAATTCGGAGATACCTACTGGGAATTACAGTGCCACCCTAAGTAGAGTTACACACTTCTAAGTCAATGGGCTTAGAAGGGTACAACTCCATTTAAGTTGGCCACGTTAGTCTCTGCAAGTCTTCATCATTATATGGCATGCAGATGACATAGGCAAAGTAGTGCCTTTTCACAGATATTGGATATCTTAAGACATACAGAAAAATCTTGCTCTTAATCTTAATCTGCAATTAAATCTCTGAGAACAAATCTGGGTTCTGTAGCATCTTCACTGCATGGTATCTTTGTCCCCAAAATAAAATTTATTGTGACTCCAAAAAGCAGTGCAAGGCTAGCTTCCTCAGGTATTTGTCAGTTCCTTTTTAAAAATAATGATTACCCTAGATCCTTTGCTAGTATGATGAAATGGATGTAGAAGCATGCCAGCTGTTTTAAGGGACAGTAGTAGCTATGTAAGAGAGACACTTAGTGGCCTCAGACCTCTAAGAATACCTGGTGGGGATGTGCCGCACTCAAGCCACCAGCAAAGGCTACTGGGTAGCCCAGGTCAGCGGATCCAACTCCCAGGGCTGCAGGCTGATAAGAAAGACGAGAACTGGAGAGCTAAGAAATGAGAAGGGGAAAGGAAAAGGGAGAGAAAGGGAAAACCTCACAGTCTGAATAATCTTCAGAATTACTGGACAAGGCCAGGGGGGAGATTTACAGTGTCAAATACTATTCTGGAACTGCGCTCCTTTCATTCTAACACACACATCAATCCTACATATACTCAGAAGAAAACGCACCACTAATTCAATGGAATTTGCTTCAAAGTAGTATTTAGGATTGCTAAAAACTAATTCCAGCTTAAATTTTTCCTTTAAAATGACACATACATTTTAGAAATTATGGAGATGCCCTTAATGTAATGTAAAGAACTTAGACGACAGTATGGAGAAGGCGAAAGCTCTTCCATAACATAGAAAAATCACTTAAAATCTTCTGAAGCAGCTACAATAATTGCTTTGACAGCAAACTGGCATGAAGGATTACACTCAGTACAGAAAACTATTCATGTGAACATTTGCATGTTCCTCTTTTGCATATCACAGAATAAAAATACTACCATAAAACCTCCCATTTTGTATATCAGGCATGGTATACAGACAAAGCAGAACGAGGCAATACAGTGAACAGGACTACTTCAGAAAGGAAAACCCCAGAAGCTCCTCCTAAGAAATATCAACTTGAACAGGCATCTGAGCAGGCATTTTGTAGCCTTCCTTCAGTATGGAAGCATATTCAGAGACCAAAATCAATCCCCAAGAACATGAGTTCCCAATCAAAATATTATTACTGAGCACCATCTTTCCCCACAAGAGAGTCAGACAGTACAGGGCTGTTGGCTTTATTACTTTAACACTCCTTCTCTTTACGCCATTTCTCTCTGTGGCCCTTGCAAAAGAATTCTAGATTCTGTACCATCCAAAGACAACAATCAAAATACTCAAATATGTGGACACACACACTGATTTGTTTAATTTATTCTAAAGGACACAATTCAGTAGAATTTAAGCAGTTCCATATGCTCACTAGAAGCATGAACAGGTAAGCACTCTTTTGAATAGGCCACTACAGAAAGACAATCATGATGCTCTAAAGACACAAAGGAGATCTCTGTGGTATCTGAGTAAGCTAAACAGTTGCAGTCATTTCCCATTATTATTGCAAAGTTGTTTTCCAGGATTTCCCAGGGCTAACCCAGCCTGGACCACTCGGGTTTCCAACAAACCACTTCTGGAACTTGAGAGACAACTGGCATTAGCTTCTAACACAGTGTGAGGAACTGTGATGTGAACTGGGGAAAGCCAGTTGCACACGGAGAAGCACTGGGTTGAGTGAGAGGCTGCTCAGATCTTAGCCACAGTCTGATTTGACCCATGAGAAGAAGAAAATGTGTCTCCAACATTCCTTTCTTAGCCTGTAAGCATCCCACTGAGATTCTACTGAATTACAAAAGTTTTGTAAGGAGTTTGCTGTGATGTCCAAATGTAGGCAATGTTTATAATCTGCTGCTGACATATAAAAGATCCACATCACAACAAATTTGCCAGTGGACAAAGAACAATGCTTTAAAATTTTCCAAAGGTTTTATCTGGAAATATGACCACATACAAAATATAATCTATTGAAGTTAAAAAAATAATAATGGGAGAGTTTTTTACCATATGTCAGCCTATCTGCATATAATGGCTATTTGAGAAAAAAATGATAGAAATAATTTTAAGTATATGGAGATTAATAAATAGATGTTTGGAATTTTAATCTAAGTTATCCTTGAAGCAAATTTTATACCTTTCTGTTGAACTTATGGAGTAAGTATGTGTACTGAATTTATACCCAATATGTGTTTACCATCTATATTTATTTTATAGTTGGGAAGTTAATGGGCAAGTGGGAGGTGCCCACAGACCCACCCACCCCCATTCCTCACAATGGCCTCTTGTTCATCCTGCTTTGTGCTATGTTGCACTACCTATATCATTATTAAAAATAAAAGTAGTTGGTCTGCATATCTATTTATTCCTGTCAATTCTTGGAGGTTAGGAAACCTTGATGACAAACTTTTCATAGGGGACATGATGGGCAGGACCCCTGCAGAGGAATACACCAACTCAAATTCCAATAAACTCATTAAGAGGGGAAATTGCTTGCCTTTATAGCTGTATTTAGTCAGGGTACTAGGGAGGAAAAGAGGGGTCCTTTTCCTCCCAGCTATGTTCCATACCTCCCCAATTTCCTTTCTGGTCCCATCAACAACCTTCTCTCTCTGCATAATTCATTCTAAGCATATTTTTTTTCTGTCTTGTTTTTGTTGGTGCACTGGTCTGTGACCTCTCATCTCTTCAGAGTTAACAAAAATACAGTTTATTGACTGAACTCCAGCCAACTCAGTGAAATACCACAGATCTCCAGAACAACTTATTTTCCACAAAGCCATCAAGACTTCTAAAAGCTTGCCCCAGCCTTCTTCACAGCATGTAGTCATTAGATATGCACAAAGCTGAAGTTCAATAAAAAAGCAACAAATGCAGTAAGTTACAAAATAAATGCCTGCTTAATTTGTTTTTAAAGTTATCAAGAACCATACAGATATTGCAACTAAGCAGAAAAAAATCCAAAGGCTAATTTCCATTTCAGGCTTATTAGGCTAAAGTTCAAGCAAAATTATTTACTGCAAAAACTTAGTTTTAACGTTTTCCCTAGTGTTAAAGGTACTGTCAGGCCATATACATTGTTTTCTATAATGCACTCACTTGATGTGAAAAAGCCAGCCCCATCATAGGGCCCTTCAAGGTATCCACCACCAAAGGAGAAGGGGTCTGAATATGTGCTTTAGTAACAGTAAAAACACACTGAACAAGACAGACACACAAAAGAAAACAGAAAAAGAAGAGAAAGAAAAGGACTTGAGAAAAAAACTGAAGACAGTTGGATGAACTGAATGCTGGTGAAGAAATGTTCGCACATGTCAAGATCACAGAATGGCAATGTATAGATGTTAGAAAATGTCACAAAAACTGCCAGTTTGTTCCATCTCAGATGTATTTGAATTTACATCAGCATTGCTGATGACTAGGCTGAACAGCCATTGGTGATAATGAAGAAAGGAAAAGGAAGCCATACAAAGCGGCAGTCACTTAAACCTTTCATGGACTTTTAACTTTAGCAGTGATCCCCATCATCTCCATTTGGACTAAGCTTAGTGGCTTAACAAAGACAGTGAACCTTTGCAACTTTTGGCAAGTTCGAATGTAGGTGTGTGTTAAGTGCCGTCAAGTTGCTTCCAACTGCAGTGAATTGTTCCACTGAACTAAAAACAGACCAGGTATTCTGTTCTTAAGGAAAGGAGAAGGAGGAGTGCTGCTCTCTCTAAGTGCTGCTATGTCTCATAATGTGCATATAAGTGACATGGCAAAGAAGTATGATATGAGAATGCTGTGAGTCCCAAGACTTCTGGGCACGCAGAGAACTCTTGTTCAGTAAAAAGGGGGGGGGGATGATCATATGCCGAGAGGGGAAATGCTATACTTTGTCATCATCTATGTTTTTAAATAGCTCTAATTAAGGCCACTAATCTACCAATTGTGTTGGCTGCCAAAAATTCATAGGCAATGTGTCTTTAAAGATCTAATGACAGATTCAGAACTCCTGAGATCTTGTTTCTTTTGTGATATTTAATAAATTACCCAGAAAAGTATATGTACAAGGCAGAAAATCTAGAGTGCCCTGAAACATACCTCAATGGAGCTAAGCATTAAGGCTCTGAAGAGCACAGAGCAGAAAAGTGCACATATATTGTGCCCCCATCATTCTGCATAATGCTGTTTCCACACAGAAATGTTGTTCCAATTTGTCATCCAAACCCACAGTGAGAGGTTTTTTGGAGCCCCCTAACTGACTTTGCTTTCCATGTTATATACCTACAGCATTATAATACTACTAGCAGTAAAGCCCATTGTAAAAGCAATACAAAGAGCTCTAGAAAGATGTGATGTGTAACAAATGCATCGGCTGGAAGCAGATTAAGTACATATTAGCAGTATATGTTAGCCAGTGAGGGTGCATTTGCAAATATGAGACACTGGTTTTTTTTGTCTAAGCATCTCCTTCCTCTGCTATGGCTGAAGTGTGTTCTACTCTATGCCCTAAGCATGTGTGTTCTAATTTTTTATTTTTTGCACACTTAACTGGGTTTGTCACGTGTAGTGTGTGTCTTGTTTATTGCCACATTTCCCCCCTTTGAACATTTGTCTATATGTATCTGCCTGTTTCCCTCTTTGGTCAAGGCTAAATCAAGACCACAAAAGTGAGGAACAATGCCTAGTTATAATTTCTACAGGAATAAAAGCTCTGACCTGGGTTCCTGTTTTTTTTGTCCTTTTTGCTTTAGCTTTAAATAAGTATCTGGGTGTCTGTATCTGTCTCTGTCGGTTTGCCTCTCTCTTTGTAATTGCTTTTCACACTCTGGGTGTGGTTAAAGGTTCCCCCCACTTGCAGGGTTTAACCCAGTGTCACAAACACTCTGTATTTTTTTAATGCATATGTCATTCTCCACTTCAGCCAGTTGTTCCTGCACTCCTCCTGTTTGTGCATGCCTACGTACATCTGTCTGTGACCGTGTCTGTATTTCTGCTTTGCAGCATGCCTCGGATTTTTTACTTCCTATTTTGTGTGTGTCTGGTCCCATTCTCTATCTCTGCTTGTATGGGTATCCACTGGCTTTTTTGTGATAACTTGGGCTGGTCCCCCCTCTGCCACACTGACAGCTATTTACTTGGTGGGTTTTTTTCCATTCTGGAAAGTGTTGCCTCAGCAAACTTGGCTTGGAGGCTAAAGACGGTGGTTTTTGTCCCCTGAGGGAATCGTAGTCCGGTAAGGAGAGCAAAGACAGTAGCTGTGTTCACCGGAGCGAAGCAACCGTCTTCTGAGGAAAGTTTTGGTGGGCTCCACCTCTGTGGGTTGGACTCAGGCAACGCAGCCAGTGGTCTTAAAGGTGCCACTGGACTCAAACTTTGTTCTGTTGCTTCAGACCAACACAGCTACCCACCCGAATCTATCCTTATATCTCTGTAAAGGAAACGGCTAGAGACCTGGGTTTCTTTTAAATGAAAGCTTAGAATTCAGAGGAGCTAGTAGATCAGTGGCAATGACTCTGAGGATTGGACAGCCACATTTGTATTAACCAACCAAAGGAACCACATAAGTACTCTATGCCCTAAGCATCACCCCATCAAATACACACATACAAGAAGGTAAGAGAGAACTATTAATATTTCTTTTTGGTTTTTAAATATTTTTTATGTGCATGGGTGTGTGTGTACACATGGAAGTATGGTCACCTCTGGTGACTGTGTGTACACCTTGAAGTCATGGTAACCTCTGGGGACTGACCCCTACTGGGGGCTTAGAGGATATTCAGAGAGGTGACTGAATAAAGCCTGGCCTCACCTCCCACCTCTGGTATTTCAAGGATGTCTTCCATTCAATTACTTGCCAGAGTTGACCCTGCTTAGCTTCTGAGATCTGACAAGATTGGGCTTGCCTGAGCTATCCACGTCAAGGCACTATTAATATTTTATGTGTGTGTGTAGATATATATCTATATCTACCTCCCTCCCTGTGTGTATGTATATAAATATATACATTTTTAATTCCAAGGTACCTCTGAACATGTTGAAATCATCTCTCCCTACCACTGCTGAACCTTAGCCAGTCCTTGTGGGGGGAAGGGCTTCCTTCTCTGCCTTCTTGTGTTCACCTCAGCAAGAGGCACACTAGCTCAGCCTAGACAATGTGATTGACAAGGCCACCAGAAGAGAGCAAACAGCCTTGAGCAAGAGGGATAATACCATGCCACTCTGGCCAGCTTGCTCTTCTCCGAAGCAACGATCGTGGTTATGGTTTTATTTTCTCTTCTCTCCAGTGAGCTTGCTCTCCTCTTAGAGGCTTTGTGGGTTTTGAAATGAAAGCACAGATGCTGCAAAGAAGGGTGAGGGGTTCTTAGAGAGGATGGGCCCTTTACTGAGATCCCTGGGATGAGGTCCACAGCTCAGGGAGGCTCTCAGCTTACCCATTCTTCAGTGGCAGCTGGGAACCACCAGCCAACCACAAGCCTCACTTGGCAATGACCTTGCCCACTTCCTTGGAACATGGGATGGGTGCCACATTTGGGAATTGCTCAGAAAAGTCACAGGTGACATATCAAACAGCCACAGAGTATCACTATAGTAGACAGATCGTCATAAAGTTATCACATTCTAGAAATATATCAACTGCTAATTTTTTTAAAAAGCCAGAGAAAGACTTCCAGTGGTGATGGGATGGCAGCTGCAGAGGGCTAAGAGAAGGAAAATGTGGGGACAATTGCCATGTGGATGATCCATTGCCTTTGCAGGGGCAATGAAAGTGACACTGCTGCATGAAACAGCTTAAGATACTAGCAGTACTTCTGTAGTACGTCTCAAGTAAAAATATGCACTCAGAATCTTGTTTCCACACCAGGACTGTACATGCTGTGTTAGGGTTTGCTATACAGCTGCAAAGGCTCTCTTGTCAGCCTGTTCAGAATTAGCAGTTTTGTAGGGCCTATCCAAGGAGTTTGCAAAGTACAAGTCCATTCTTAAGTATTTCACAGTACGGGGAATTTAAAAATAAATAACAGATACTGTATAATGAGATAGTTGTAAGACTACAGAGAATCTTAAATTCTACTCTGAGTAATCAAGTCAGGACACAAAAGATGTTTGTGAAACTGTATTTTACCTATAAAACAACATAATTTTTGTAGTGGTGAAATGTATGTACGGTTAAGCTCACTAACATTTAATTTGCAATAATCTTCATTTCTGTGCTTGTTTTACATCTTACAAAAATAGTCTGTAAAAATACAAGTAAAATAGAGTGACTGTCAATAAATTAAACCGTGTTCTGTAGCCAAACATGATTACACAGTAGGTTCTCTAAAGGACATATGCTGGGAAACTTTTACAGCTGTCTCTGAAAAGTCCCATACCTGGGATGGAGGAGAAGTAGAGAAAGAGGTGGTGCAGACTTCTTGAGAGTCTTCTACTGATGGGTATGCTGCTGTGGCTTCCTCGCCACCTGTTCTGTAAAAACAGGAAGAGATAAATTTCTAAATGTGACTATTCAATAATACACACACGAAAAGTACAGGCAGAGAAAGACAATGCAGCCAAGGATCCAAGTGGAGTTGAAAGGAGAATTATGAACGAGCTCTAACTCTTTTAGTACTAGGGCTGAAGAAAATGCTACTGGGGGGATTACGAATTTCCAGCTCTGATTTCTCCAGAAATTCTCCCTAAAGGTGGGAGAAACATGATTCTTCCGTGTTCCACCCTGTTTTAGAAGACATTTTTTCTGAAAGAAGAGTCTTGATCAAGCTACAGAGATAGATCGATCTCAAAAGACAGTTTCATGTACTTTGTCTTTGTTGTTGATCCAACTATCAAGGACACTAAGGAAATAAAACTATTTTCAATCTTTGATCTATTTATCAAAGTTTCTTTTATTACAATGTGTGAAGAATTCTGAATTGTGCATGCTTTCCGACTGATACACCAGCACACAAATACAAAAATGGACATTTGTGTTAGCATAATCTTGCATGTCATTCAGTATATTAATTAGTATTTTTCATCCTTCACAATGTGTAATCAGGAAAAACATTACTGATGCAAAGGAGTCTTCACATTAACTAGCTAGAGTGAGTGTGAAACCTCTGGGCCACATTCCATCCACTAATCTCTAACAGATTAGGAAATGCAGACTTTTCTCATGCACTCCAAATAACAGAAGAAGCAGGACTGGCATCCTTTTCCCCACCCAGCACTGCATGCTGTAAAGGCTCTATACTTGGGAATAACTGTCCCTTCACCCTATATTAGTCATGTTTCCTCACCTGTAATTGCAGGGGTGCATGGGTGAGGAGCTGGGATAGGGACGGTCCACAAAGTGATCAATGATAATCCCCATGATAGGTGGGGTCCTCTCAAACTGCCTGCAATGCAACAAGCACATGGTGTTATTCATAAGACTCTTCTCCCTTCTTTGCTGCAACCCCAGTTCTGGCAGCTAGGCTACTCTTTGCATCAGATAATGGGGAGCAGAGCATCACCAGAATTCCACCCTGCAACTCCACACATTAACAAGGCATAACTCAGGGTTACCCAATACTACTACATGGCAAGATCTAAGAACCCCAGATTGTGTGCTTAAAAACTGTGTCTCTGAAAAGGTGGTTTAGCTTGACTATGATTTCCTCACCTCGTGGACATGAAGGCTAAGTTGATTCTGTAGGCACAAGACAACGTGATGGTGCCCAATGGAGTACCCACTGTTCCAACACGGACTGTCTGAAATCCTATAGAGGCAGAAGAGCAATTGGCAAAGTAATAATCATTTTAAATTAAAAATAAGTGATTGCTGTGGCAGCACATATACTAAAACTGAAACATAAAAATAACAGTATTAAATATTGTACCCTGCTTTTCTCCCAACATTGCTTACAAAAAACCCCAATTTAAATAAATAAACAGAAAAAAATAAGGAGTAATGACTGATTTTCAGCTTCCCTGAATGACTGTTCTGGTAAAAATCCTCTTGCTAGCAATGGTGCAAGGATACTAATTTCCTGTCCTGTTGTATACCTGATCTTGCTTCCTAATGCAACTTGATCATGTAAATACCACCTATATGCTGTTTTTTGAGTTAATTTATTATTCTGTAACTTTCCTTTCCCCCTCCTATCCCTCCATTTTAATTGTTTATGTAGCTAATATAAATCTTGTCAAAAATAGTGCATTGCCCAACCATACCTTCTCCTAGGCCACTCAGCTGGACTTCTCCGAAGTATATCCTATAAATGGGGATAAGAGAGAGAAACAGCACATTAGATGTAGACAACTAGGCAGTACAAAGCCAGACACCGTGTTAATCACTAATGTGCACAATGCTTTACAATCTTGATCTTCTTTGCTTTTTTTCCCTTTTTTTTACAGAATGGAGTCAGGGCTGAGAGAGCAATTTGCCCCAGGCTATCCATGACTGAGCAGGAAATTCAAATATATCATCAGTATTTTATAAACTGGATTAAGCAACTGTCAGTTGGTAAAAAATATTAACCAGAAAAATCCTAGTCAGACTCAGAACTACTTCAGGTTTATCTTCTCTATTTTTCTCCTACATATCAACCTGACAGCTTAGAAGCATTTCCAAGACTTGCTACCCAACCAAGAGCTGTACTAATCTGAATTCTCAGCAAATCATACTAAGTCAGACTTTTAAAAAAGTTATTCAGGTAGATCTCTTACAAAATAAACAAGATTGTGCTGTTCATATGGTACCTATAACTAATCTTCCCCATCCATCCAGAAATATCATTTAAGATTTAACAGGTAACTCTTCTAAGAGTCAGTTGTGTACTGTGTCAAATAGTAATGAAAAGTAAATTATCAGAGGAATGTCTTTGTATATTGTTGCTTTTCAGGGTTTCTTTCTTATAGACTGTACAGCTTGATCCCGTAAACTGGTCAGCTCACATTTTTCCTGTGCTAGCTTTGCACTAAGAATGGAGAAGTAAAATGAAGCCAGGTCCTCCAGCCATTTTCGTTCAAAGAACGGTGTAAGAGCTGAGATGCAGTGCTGTTAAACAACCTCCATAATTTCAGTGGGGCTCCTACACAGGCCTTTCATCCAATATGAATAGAAGATAAAACATATTTCTAATTTGCATTATACTCAAAATTCTCAGAGGACCAGTACTTGCAAATAGGACTCAAAGTTAAACCTTTTGAACGTTTAGTTCAGTTTCTACAGTGAAATTCGAAGGTGGTAACAAGATTTTGGATGTATCACAAGCCAGACACAAAAGGAGCAAGAATGCACAGAAATGTGTAAATCAGAATAAAATAAATAAGAAGTTACACACTGCAAAATGGATATTACATTTTGTCAAATTTTAAGATGAGAGATGAAGGAAAGAAAAAAGGGGGGACCCTTTCCATATCCCACACTGAAAAAAGGAAAGAGAAAAAAATGTTGCATAAGCAAACATGCTAGGTACAAATGAAAAGAAGAATCTAAGCATATAGCTGTGTTGTTAGGGGGGGGGGGAGAACCTAACCAAGAAATATAAAACTTAATTAGAAGTGGAGAGTGGAAAGGGCACATAATCCTATTGTTTCAGTGGAATATTGGAGCCCATATTACCTGTACAGTATTACATATTCATGACCCTGTTTCCTTGACAGTCTGTAGGCAGGTGTCACCCTGGTTATGGCAAGTAAAGACTTCAGCAACAGAGATAGCCTGTTATATACAGTGTAGGAAACTTTGATTTCTTTATCACACCTAGAAAGCACACAGAAGCAGTTAGTTCAGCATTCCCAATGAAAAGGTAAAAACGATACCAATACAGACTGGAGATTATAAAATCTACAACTTGCCTTAGAATGCCACATTTAAGTTACAAACAATTAGGAAAACAATCTATCATTAAGGGGAAAAATTATGACATACAAATCTTTTCACAGCAAGGGAATCAATATATGTAATTCTCAACATGGTCCATCTGTGGATACTTGCATCTAGTGATTGGGACCATGAACAGAAAAACCTTTCTACAAACCTGAGAAAAGCCCCATGTTTGCAAAAAAAACTGAACTCTGACAAAAATTATTTTGGGAGTTAAAAATCCCCATAATAATAGAAACAGTGCCTGTGGCTTTAAGAAACAAATGCCCTCTCAGTGGTTCTGTGGGGTTCTAGGCAACCACAACAGTAGCATGCCTTCAAACCTTGGTTTCTGTCAGTAAAGGCAGGGGGAGGGAACTTTGTAGGGCTGTTTTGGCCTTTGAGGGAGGACTCATCTGAGCTAAGACCAGACACAACCACCAGGCAACTTGCTACCATGTGACTTGCATGACTCACCTAGGCCTGGCTGTCTACTACTATTCAACAACAATCACCTCATGAAAGCTAGTGCTGTGTAGTGGTTATAGTTTCAGACAAGGAACTGGGAGACCCAGGTTCAGATCCCCACTCTACTATGTACAGAACTTGAATCTTGGGCCAGTCACACATTCTCAGCCTAACCTACCTCAACAAGTTGTTGTGAGGATAAAACGCAGGAGAGGAGAGTGATGCGGGCTACCTTAGGTCCCCATTGTGAAAAAGCATGGGATATAAATGAAGTAAATAAACAATAAATACAGTTGAAGATGGGGGCCAGACAAAAGGTAGGTAAGCTTGGTGGGTTGGTGGGAGAGAAATAAGCAAGGAAAAGGAAAAATATGAGGGCTGCCAGAGAAGAGAAAGAGGAAACAGTAGGGTTGCCAGGTCTTACCTTGCCTGGAGCGGGGGACTTTGGGGGGCATTCCAGGTTGGGTGGGAATGTCACACAATGTCCCCAACATGATGACATCACCCGGAAGTGACGTCCCCGTGTGATGTTGTCATTTATGGGTGACATCATTGCATCAGGGATGTCACACAGCATTGTCCCTGTTTGGGGATAGGGCTTCCCCAACCAGCCAACTGGCCGGCAGCGGGCTGAAGTCCCGAAAATTTTCCCAGCAATGCCAGGAGAATGGCAACCATAAGAAATAGTGTGGGGAGGGAGATACAGGGGAAAGTGAAGTGCCTGTACCAAGTCCTTGTGGGCTCCCCACTGTCCAAATGGTTAGCTTTGAAACATCAGTAACAAGGGTTGCTATACCTTCTTTGAATCATCTATAATTTTTATAGAAAAACAGATTCTTGAGGCCATTATTGTTGCCTGATGCAGAATGCAAGAACCACCAAGTGCTGACTCACTGCAGTTAATTTGGTTCCTGTTTCTGCTGGAAAATTGTAAACAAAAATAGAAAGTGTAAATTAGCATAGGTCAGCTGGATGATTTATATTGGAAGCTTTCTGCCTTCTAATGATACCCAGTCTTTTCAGACTGAAGTATTCAGACATGATGAGCTTATTAAGCATTAAACCCACTATAAAAGAACATTCATTTGTCATCTAGTTTTCTTTTTGACACGGGTAAACCATGCCTGCAGATTATGGAAAAGAAACTGTGAAATGAGTTACACACATGAAATTTTTAAAAAGGTGTTCAAAAGTTGGAACTATTGGAAGGGGAAGGACTTGCCTGGGACACCACTGGATCTAGGGCTGGTCCTGCATACACGCAGCTGGGATGAATCTGAATTAGCGTTACAGAGTGCTCAGGCAGTTCAATGGTTTAGGGTACTTAAACCCTGTCTTGAGTCACTAAAGTGTTTGCAAATTTTGTTTGGTAAATGTGGTTACCTGCTCTGCATATCAGGTGAGAGAAGTTAGTTGTACTCCATGCATACTGTCAAGGGTCCTTGCCCAGGCTAAAATTACTCAGCACCACATGCCTGTGACTAGTAAGCACAGGGACCTTGCAGGTTCCACCAGGATATCACTTACCATCTGCTGATCTTTCTTTATCTATACATAGCTGGATCTTGTGCTGTCATTCCAGTAATTCACAATGTGGGGAGGGGCTGTGGGTCAGTGGTTGAGCATCTGCTTTGCATGCAGGAAGTCACAATGTGAATCCCTGACATCTCCAGTTGCAAGAACTGAGTAGTAGGTGATGTGAAAGACCTCTCCCTGAAACCCTGGAGAGCCACTGCCAGTCTGAGTGGGCAATACTGACCTCGATGGACCAAGGGTCTGATTCAGTATAAGGCAGCTTCATGTGGCCATCACTTATTCCTGTGGCCATCACTACATCCTCTGGCAGCAAATTCCACATTTTAATCACACTCCGTGTAAAGAAATATTTCCCCTTGTCTGTCCTGAATCTACTGCCCATCAGGTTCATTGGATGCAAGTTTTAAAATTTTGGGAGAGGGAGAAAAAAAAATCCCGTTGTCAACTCTCTCCACCCCATGCATAATTTTACCTTAATACTGTACTGGGAGTTTTGCAAATGAATGCCAGAGCAAGTTTTTTGTTTGTTTCATTTAAAATGCAAATGCACAGGGCCCAATTTTGCATTGTGATTGTGCTGCAGGAGGAGAGAGAATTTAAGCTCCCACCCAGTCATTTCCTCAACCTGAAAAATAGTTCCATGGAAATGCTATTTGTCACATTGGGGCAAATATTCAGTTCCCTGTATCTGATGAAGGGAGCTTTGAGTCTTGAAAGCTTATTACCACCCCACCCTCCCAAATCTTGCTCATTTCTAAGGTGCTACTGGACTCAAATCTAGGTCCCCATACATCTACTGATCCAGGCCTGCCCCAGTGGGTATCAGGGCCAATTTTAAGAACAGCAAATTCTTGGGGGGGGGGGGAGGGGGAGATTTTGAATGGGAAAGGAGTGGTTAGTCATTTCGTCACTATCTCCGCCATTTTTCTACTCCAGTTAGCACTTTATGCACCTTCCCCCCAACACACACACTAAAATAGCAGGGGGTAGCCATGTTAATCATGTAATCCCCGCAGCTTCTAAATTTGCAGAGTAGAATGATAGCCCTGGGAAGAGGCTCAGTGCTCTGAGACAGGAATGATGGCCCCTAGGTATAGCAGAGGTGTTCTGGGACTGGAATGACAAACCCAAACACTCTCATTTTTGGTAGAATGACATGCCTCCCCTCCTCCACCTGGCCGTTGTGCATCCTACATGAAGCAGGGTGATTCAGCAGATGCAAGAGAATGCCAGTGGTCTGCATCCAACAACTCACACAGCAGAACCAGAGCTTGCAGAAGGGGAGGGGGGAGGGAGGGAGGGAAGGAAGGAGAGATGGAAAGAGAGTAAATAGATGGGAAAGAAAGAAAGAAAGAAAATAGATGGGGAGACGGGAAAGAAAGGAGGGGGGGAGTGTGAGGAGGGGGGAGAGCAAAGGCTCCCCTAATCTCTTTGGGCTCCAAAGTTCAGTGGGCTATAAACTTCCCATGTGGACCTGCTGAGCTCTGAAGTGCTCCCTTTTCTCATTTCACAAAAGGCAAAACAAAAACAAAAATGCGCTCCTCCTAGCAGCCATGCACTTGCCCTCCCCCAAACCCCGGCAGCCCATTACTTGGAAAGCTGACAGAGCAGGCTGTGTTTTTTGCCGGTAAGATCTCCCACAGCAGAATCGGAAGGAGCAGCAGCCCACAGCCTTCTCGGTCCCTCACCCTGACACGGGAGGAGGAGGGACAGAAAAAGCTCCAGTAGCCCTGATCCCTCCCCATGCACATCTATGGAGCCGCGTCCCCTGGACTTTCAGCAACTCTCTCAGCCCAACCTGCTTACTCAAAAGTCAGTTGAGATCAGGAACAAGGTGATAAGCTCTCTGTTTAAAACATCAGACAGCCATTGGAAAAAAAAAGACAGAACAGCTCTTGCTATGGTCAGATCGTATTCTTACACTAAAAAAAGGAAGCAGAGAGGGGGGACCTTGATCTGTCTCTTTGTGATTGAAGGCAATACAACAGAGCTGAGAGTTGACACTAACTGCTATACCACCCTGGATCTCCCCATACTTCTATTAGCCCCCCTAGAAAGGGGGGGGGGACAGGCAAACATCATTTGCCTGTCTGTTTTCCATTCCAATGCTGATGGTTCTGAAATTATGCATGGGTAGAAACCATCTCTCCTCATCCAGCACCTGAAAACAGTGGCGGGCTCAGGCCCGGCACTCCGGCAGAGGGCCTGAAAATGGCGGCGAGGGCGGGCTCCGCAGGCCATTTTTCAAGGCTGGAGCTCCGGCACAGGGCCTAAAAATGACGGCAAGGGTGGGCTCCGCAGCCGTTTTTCAAGGCCGGCACTCTGGCGCAGGGCCTGAAAACAGCAGCAAGGGCGGAGGGGCCCCCCTCCGCAGGCCGTTTTTCAAGGTTGGCACTCCGGCACAGGGCGCTCTGGTGCAGGGCCTGAAAACAGCGGCAAGGACAGGGGCTCCGCAGACCGTTTTTCAAGCCCAGCGCTCTGGCGCAGGGCCTGAAAATGGCAGCAAGGACAGGGGGGCTCCGCAGGCCATTTTTTAAGGCTGGCACTCCGGCGCAGGGCACTCTGATGCAGGTCCTGAAAACAGCGGCGAGGGTGGGGGCCACCACAGGCCATTTTGAAGCCCGGCGCTCTGGTGCAGGGCCTGAAAACGGCAGTGAGAGCGCCCCCCCCCACAGGCCGTTTTGAAGCCTGGCGCTCCACGCAGGGCCTGAAAAAGGCGGGGGGGGGAGTTCTGCAGGTGATGGGAGGGCTCCGCAGGGAACTTACCTGCCTGCTGCTTACTCTTTGTGGCCCGACTGATGGCTGGTGGGAGTAGGGGGCGGGGCTTATGTGCCCACCCCCTGGGCTCCTTAGTGGCGGAGCAGCACTCTGGCGCGCTCTGGCAGGAACTGAGGCCTGCATATTTACTTACAGGGTAAGAATCAGCAACACATACTTACTTCTCATTCATTTCTAAACACCAAATTTCCAGCTCCATGGAATCCCCCTGTGATGGAAAAGGGAATGTTAAAACAAATAGATATAATTAAATCTCAATACATTTGTGCAAACAGATCCCATAATCCCACGCATATCCTTTTGGTAGTCAGAAGGGATCCCTTCCCCTTTTCATCAGTGGAAAATCTGGTTGGATCCAACCCAGTGGGTCCACAGTTGCCTCATAACAAACTGCATGGAGCATATTTTCAGCATTCACATGTGTATGTAACAGCAGCCAGCATATTTTTGCTCTGAGGGCTAAGCAGAGTTTTCTTTCATCTTTGCTCTTCAGATGACAAGCATGAGAGAGTGACTGTGATGTTACTGGCGTCCTGACAATTGGCATTTTGCACAATCCCTAATGCTTCAAATGTCCAAAATCCATCTTCTTGAGATTCATCTTCAAGGAAAGATTATACATGCAATAATGACATGATATTTCAAGAGTGACCTGGTTCTCAAAACAGGGTCAACAAACCATAGTACCAGAAAGCACATGTTGTGAGTACATGTAAGAAAACAAAAAACAAAAACAGAAACACATTTCAAAGATGACGATGGTAAAGAGTACCACAGTTTTGTTTATGCTTACCTCAGAGGTTTTGAGAGAGATTTCCACACACATTGACCTCCCAACAGCAGGTAACTGTCCTGCCAGGGCTTTTTTTGCTTCATGAGTAACTTCCGGTATGTCTTTGATTGCCAAGTTGAACTGCAAAATGAAGCCTGATTTTACTTCACAGAAACTTGTTTGAGAAGCCTTACAAGAACTTCAAGCATAAAATCCTCTGATTGATCACACACTGCAGATTACTATAGCTGTACTGCAGTCTTTCCAACTATATTGCTGTAGAACAGGAAGGCACCTACTTCTTGTTTCTTTCTTGCCCTTTCAGCCTATCATTCCTTTCAAATACCACAAGCATCTAACATCTCCCAATCAGAAATCAGCTAAGAACTAATTTCAGATACGGTTTCAATACAGTTTTATAATTACTGTTGTGAGCCATGGCAGGAATGTTTAGTGAGGGAATCAGATAAAAATCTTAAACAAATAATAAACTAGTTGGAACTATTATATTTCTCTACTCAGACTCACAAGAGGCTGGAATCTTACTGCATATGACAAAAACATGTACTAACACTTTTCATGGGATTGTTTGAAGGAATATTTTTTACCCAATCAGAGCCTGTTGGCGAGGATGATGATCGAGTACAGATCTTCTCTCCAAGACGGGCCTGGACAATCACTTGTACAGTCTGAAAGAACACAATGTATTTTTATTTGCTTCACTTATACTTTGCCTTTCTCCCCAATGGAAACCCAAAAGTGGCCAATGTCTTTCTTCTCTCCTAGATCAGGCTATGAGTGTGTTCCTGTTATAACCCTGTAGCCCTAATGTGCAACAGTGACAAGCAAACACATTTTTAGATGAACATATTTTAAGTTATCATCCTGATATATCAAGACACTGCTAAAATAATCCCCTAATCAAAAACTAGGATTGTACAGGGGGAACAATCATCCTGAACCTGGAGTTGATGTGTCATCAATTAGTTTTCAAGTTTCTAAGTTTATTTTTTAAAAAAATTGTTATCTATTTTTCTCTATTATCATCCTAGAGACATATCATCTCAATCTCATTGTGTCCGTGTTCTCTCCAAAACCCACAGCAATTTCTGTGTACATTAGGTGGTACACAGATAGCCAGACTAGGATCTACAGAACACCTCAGAAACCTTTCTTGCTTCACACTGAAAACCCTAATATAGGCATGAGGTTCACGATGCTCAGAGCCTGGACAGAATGTCCTTAAGGAACCATATAGTTATATCCACATCTATTAATATGATCATTTATAGTTCATCAGCATCTTACAGCAGGATGAAGAAATAGCACTGTATTTCAAAAATACTTTATGTCTGGTTGTTCCGCATGATTTTATTCCAGACCTTTACAAACAATTAGTGTGAAGGTTCAGTTCAAAATGCTGTTAAGACTTAAATTCTGTATTAATCATCACTGTATGAACATGGGCACAGAGATAACTACAGGGAGTTCCAGTTTTTGCAACACAAATGCAGAACCAGTGCTGATTACACAACAACAAAAAATTACCTTTAAAGCAAAAAATTTGATAAACTTGTCCAGGTCCTTCCTGTCCTGGGAACTGAGATCAGTGTCCATTGCATATGGAAACCTGGGATAAAGAAGACACATAAATAAAGAAGACACATAAATGTTCTGAGACTGTGAAATCATATGAAAAGAAAATACCTAACTAATATCTTATTTACAACAGTGACAAACTATCTGTGTCTTTTCAGAATCAATTCAGTAAACAGGACAGGAACAGACACATTTTATTTAAAGTGAAGTGTGCTAAAAACAACCAACATTTCATTGTTATGTGCATCTTTAAAAAGCCTATTGTATTTTAACAGCCTAACAAAGGCAGTGTTCACACAAGGGAGATAATGCGGGGGGGGGGGAGGCTATTTGCTCCGCAGGAATTTGACCCATATTTCCTGGGAGCCGGGTGAGTCGGGGTTTTTTTTGCTGCGTATTTCCGGTGCGCTTCAACAAGGGATTGATTATTCGCATCTCCGCACCGAGTGCTCCCTATGCACTGTGTGATGATGCACATACCGAAACAGGGGGAAAAACAAGGGCATGGAGTCGGGATGGCTTCATCAGACCATCCTGATGCCATGGAAGTGCGCTGGCGCGATCACACAGGGGAAAATCCGTTCCTGGCCCATTGCAAACCCGTTTGCTACTGAGTTTTCCTCGGTGTCTTTTTACTCTGCTTCTGCAGCAGAGCAAAACGGGTTGCTGACGGGAGTGGGACACTTGGCAGATGTTGGCGTCTGATCATGCCTTAAAATCCGCCTGACATTCGCACCTATGGCGCGGCTACTTCTGCGTGTGATCGCGCCCAAAGATTCCCACAGACTACCTTGTGCCTTATCAGGCCTGGAAAATCATCTTTGCTGCTCTTCTAAGACAAGAATACAGCTGGCTGCTTGGATTCTGCAGAGGTGAGCTGTATCACTTCCCCTATGGCAGTGGTGGCGAACCTATGGCACGGGTGCCAGAGGTAGCACTCAGAGCCCTCTCTGTGGGCACACGTGCCATCGCCCCAGCCAGGCCCAGACCATCATAAAAGTGTCAAAATCTCTGTCAAATAATTTTAAGTAAATGAAAGCATTTGGGATTGCTTTCCTTACTTTGTTTGGATCATCTTAAGTTAATGTATGGGTTGTTTTTTTCTTAAAGTAAAACCTCAGTATTCAGGTTAAATTGCCGTGTTGGCATTTTGCGATAAATAAGTGGGTTTTGGGTCGCAATTTGGGCACTCGGTTTCTAAAAGGTTTGCCATCACTGCCCTATGGGGTAGGCTGCAGATGAAGAAGCCAAAAGCTCTGTAGACCATTCTGCCTCTTTAAAGGCAGGGATAGAAGAAAATCTTCCCTCAGTAAAAAATCTGCACAAAAGAGGTCTATGTGAGCTTTATTTCTGCTTTAGAGTCCTCCTCAGTACTGAACAGGAGTGGCTTTTATCCTCTCTACCAGCAGGACAACAAGGCTATCACTTTAATACTCCCCCCCTGTACTTCAGCTATTCAATGGGCAACACACAGAAGAATCCCAGGAAATGCTTGTCTCCTGGCCCTATCATAACATCAAACAAAGAGTCTGGTGGAGTAAAACTGAGATATGATAAAAGTTGCCATGTACATCTATGTGACATACTGGCTGAGAGGCATGAAATATGGTTGCCACTGATGGATTCCTTTACAAATTAAAGCCATATTTTCCCCTCATCGTTAATTTACAGACAATGCAAGATTTACTCTAAGCAGAATTTACAGTTGGAGTAGTATAGTGACTAAAGTGTGAGCAGTGACACAAGAGGCTGTTGAGTCTAATCTCATCTGCCATAAACTCTTTAGGGATCCTTGCACAAACCAGATGTCCCAACTGCAATACAAGGAAAATAATATTAGCTCTTCTATTCCTTCAACGGTATGGCTTTCTTGGCCATAGCCTTAAGCCTAGCCATATTAAATTTTAAAAACACCTCCCTTTTCCTATTAAGCCCACACTAATTATAGAAGTTTTAAATCTCTTATTTTGTGCTGAATTATTAAAAGATAAGAGGCCAGGGAATCACGAATATTCAGATCTTTATTGTGCAGAAGATGGAAAAGAACTTTGGTAAATAAACTCATCCTTCTCTAACAACGGGGTTATCTATTTCTCTCTATCTTCAGTAAATAAAGAGCATTCAAGGACTGAGTGAGCCAAGGTACCTATCTTCCCTGTGTTACAAAAGTATCAACATTCTGAAGAGACTCTGGCAAATTGGCCTTTTAATTCAGGCAATGGTACAGCATTTAATCTGGCAGCCAATATTACAGTATCTGGGAAGAGTCAAACATTTCAAATATGCCAGAAGGGTTACTGAAAGTTCTAACCCATTATAGGAAAGAGAACACACCCTTCTTGCTCACAGATTTGCACTTCTAAAATCTAACTTTACTAACTGATTTTTAACCCATGCCAAGGAGAAGTACAGCCTAGCTGTTCCAATCTTTGATCAACCAATCTCTTCCAGTTACTCTGAAAGGAATCTTCTCATAGTCTAAGGAGGAGCCTAGATCTATAATTAAATAGTATCTTAATCCTGAGTCTGAATGCATCTAGCCATGCTGCTAATTTCAATGACGGAACTGAAAATTCTTGCCAAACACATTTAGGCAGTCTGGTTGTTTTTCTCATGAAAACTCTTGCCAAACAGCTATACTTGATACACATTTAGGCAGTCTGGTTGTTTTTCTCAATAAGAACATAAAAGAATCTATGTTGGATCAGGCCAATGGCCCATCCAGTCTTAGACTCTGTGCCACACAGTGGCCAAAACTCAGGTGCCATCAGGAGATCCACCAGCAGGGCTAGAACTCCAGAAGCCCTCTCACTGTTGCACCCCAAACACCAAGAATGCAAAGCATCACTGCCCCAGACATTTTAACAGAAAGGAATCAATGTCCTTTGAAATACCTTTGACCCAGACTCCAGTACCATAAAGCAGGGGTGTCGAACTCATTTGTTATGAGGGCCGGATCCGACATGAATGAGACCTTGTTGGGCCGGGCCTTATGTGTCATAAAATGTAATGCCAGGTAGCGGAGATACAAACTTTATAAAGGACACAAACAAAAAGATGCTTAAAACATTAGCTCTGTAAGCTGCAAACCTACTTTTGATTTATTGACATTCACCACAGAAATCTCATGCTCAGAGTTCTGAGTCTAGGACCCAGGTTAAAACATGAAATGGCTGAGTGATTAAGAGAGTCTGGCAAAGCAAGCTATGATGCAGCAGCAGCGGCGGCAGAACTGGAAGCAGGAGGTGGCCAGTTCTACTGCGGGCCTGATGGAAGCCCTCTGGGGCCGCATGTTTGACACCCCTCCCATAAAGTATAACTTGGTTAATTCCCCCCCCCAAAAGGTCCTAATGGCTGTCAGATAATACCTTCCTCCTTCTGTATGAAAAAGATAAACCATTTAGCTATGGTGATAGCTTCTGAGAAATAAATTAAAATTGTAGTTTCTAGGATAAATCCTGGGAGAATAGCAGTCCTAGATATCTAAATCTAGTCACTTGTTCAATATTAACATTCACTACCCTTCATTCTTTTTTCTTCAGTCGAGAGCCTCTTGAAAAAACAACTATTTTAGAATTTTTTTGCATTTATAATTCATCTTTCATCCCCAAAACTGGCTAGCATGTGCTATGTGCTTCAAACCTACAGCCATAAGGGATAATGCTGTACTGTCCCACATGCAGTAGAATTAGGAATGCCAGCCTTCAGGTGAGGCCTGGGGATCCCCTGGAATTACAGCTCATCTCTAGACAACAGAGGTCAGTTTCCCTGGAGAAAATGGCTGCTTTGGAGGATGGAGGTGGAATTGTATCCCACAGAGTCACCTTGCTTATTTAATACATATGCAGAGTACATCATGCGAAATGCTGGCCTGGATGAATCACAAGCGGGAATTAAGCTTGATGGGGAAAAGATCAACAACCTCAGATATGCAGACGATACCACTCTAATGGCAGAAAGTGAAGAGGACCTAAAGAGCCTCTTGCTCAGGGTAAAAGTGGAGAGCGCAAAAGTGGGCTTGAAGCTCAACATTAAAAAAACTAAGATCATGGCATCCGGCCCCATCACTCCTTGGCAAATAGAAGGGGAAGTCGTGGAAGTAGTGACAGACTTCACGTTCCTGGGATCCCAGATCACCGCAGACTGTGACAGCAGCCATGAAATTAAAAGATGCCTGCTCCTTGGGAGGAAAGCGATGGCGGACCTAAACAGCATGATAAAAAGTAGAGACATCACCCTGCCAACAAAAGTCCGTATGGTCAAAGCAATGGTATTCCCAGTAGTCATGTATGGCTGCGAGAGTTGGACTATAAGGAAGGCCAAGTGCCGAAGAATAGATTCCTTTGAACTATGGTGCTGGAGAAGACTCTTGAGAGTCCCTTGGACTGCAAGAAGATCAAATCAGTCAATCCTAAAAGAAATCAACCCTGACTATTCCCTGGAAGGCCAGATAATGAAACTGAAGCTGGAATACTTTGGCCACCAAATGACAAGGGAGCACTCCCTGGAGAAGACCCTGATGCTGGGAAAGATTGAAGGTCAAAGAAGATGGGGACGGCAAAGGATGAGATGGTTAGACAGTGTCATAGATGCAACGAACATGAAGTTGAGCAAACTTCAGAGGATGGCGGAAGACCGGAAGGCCTGGCGTGATCTTGTCCATGGGGTCGCGAAGAGTCGGACTCGACTGTGCGACTAAACAAATCCCTCAGAGATCCCTGTCCTCTCCAGGTTCCATCCCCAAATCGCCAGGGGTTTCCCAGCCTAGATCTGACAATCCTACCCCTTTCATCCCGTGCTGGTGGACAGGGGGGACCAGGCAACCCTAAGTAGTGTGGAAGGTGCAGGAGATGTTTTGTTTTGAATTGTGCCTGGAGTTTTACATATAAATGGGGGACTGATTTTGCATTATTATAGGTATGAATCAATATTATATGTAACTACCAGATTTGAATAATTATGTTGGAAAGGTGTTCTACTTGCACAGAGATGTCTTTAAAGCAGGTAAAATATGAGTTGTTCTCTCTGCTA